GGAGGCCGGGCAGCTCCATGTGGCCGTGGGGAAGAACTTGTTTGGTGGGAGGGTGCCCGAGCCCTGGTTGAGGCTGCCCAGGGAGGCTGCGGAGGCTCCTGCTCTGGAGACCTTCCCACCGCGCCGGGMTGGAGCGGGTGCCCCSTGCTCYGGGTGTCCCTGMTGGAGCAGGAAGGTTGGACTAGACGATCTCTAGAGGTCCCTTCCAACCTCAACCATCCTGTGATTCTGTCACCTCACCCCCGGGACGGCGGTCAGGGCAGGGACAGACGTACCTGGCGTTCTTGTTGATGGCTGCCACCATGAGGGCCGTCCAGCCCAGCCCGTGCCTGGCGTTCACGTCGGCGCCGTCCAGCAGCAGCCTGCGGGGACACAGAGAGTGTCAGCGCGGGGACAGGGACGGGGACGGCCACACGGAGCGGCTGCTTTGGGGACACTCGTGACAGCGCGGCCACCAAGTCACTGCAGAAGCTCCCATCAAAGAAGGGCTGAATTTGGGTCAACAAGTCAGGGCAAAGCTCCACTTTTGGGCTGAGATGTCCTGCATTCAGGAACAAGGAGACYCGAGCCCCGTGAGTCAAATGTTGAGGCAATATCGATCCCCAACGCCCAATTCCATAGGATTTAGCCTATATTTCTGAAAATTCCAAGGGAGTGTTGATTCTGAATGGAAAAGTCCCAAACGCATCCTGAACACAGCAAGCGGTTTGAACAACCCCGAGACACTGGGGTAAACTAAACACTGAGGGAAAACTAAGTTTTCCGCCCGGGAAACACTTCATTCCCACACGGATAAGCGGRTAAGAGGATTTCTACATTAAACACTATGAGACCGGATCCTCATCCCACAGGTGAATCCGCCAGTGCATCCAGCAGGAAGGATGCCGGGGTGGCTGCCGCACGATTTGATTACCGCCCYGGCGCTCAGATATCAGAATTAATCAAGCAATTTCCCATTCAGGAATCGAAATGACTGGCAGCATCTGGAAAGCCACAGGACCGGGCCGAGCATCGAGAATTACAGGCATCAGATCCTGCAGCATAATCTGCATTGACGTTTCATTTAGGAGCAGGATTTCTTTATTATTCTTTCTTTTTAAGGAAATAATTGCAAGATGCTCCACAACTTAACAGATTTTCGAGACAACTGAACTTTATGTCCAGGGTCTTCAAGCCCATCAGTCATTTATTTCCCCCGTCTGATTTAATGATAGGACAATCGATAAAGCGACGACCACTGCTCGCATCCTAGGCAGCCAAATGTCTTTACCAGCAGGAGGAGCTTTTGTTTTTTTCTTAATTAAATCAAGGCCCTGATCAATGTTTGGGATGTTTATCCGCATTTTAAGTAAATAAAGCCCCGGGCTGCTCCTTTGGCACCGGATCCAGCGCTTGGCAAGGGACAAAAGCGGCCCTGGTACCAACCTTGCTGGGTGACAACACGGTCTGGATGGAGAGGACGGGGCTTTTCCTGCATGAACTTATATAAGAACTTGCAAGGATTAAGGATAAACTTGTAAGGATTAAGGATAAACTTACAAGGATTTTACAACAAAAGGCCCCAAAGGGTGTGCTSTCCTTCATAAGGATGAATTGAGCAGAGAATTTAATCTAACGTAGACTGAAGATGCTAAGGAACAACGTGCGTAAGGGCAAGACTTGCAAGGCTCAGGTGCAAGTTCTCAGCTACAGTTGGGCTCATTCTGGTCTGGAATTAAAACCGGTTCCAGCTACGCCAAGCACATCAAGCCCAAAACGAGTTCCAGCTACATTAAGCCCAGAAATATCCTCTTTAAAATAGCAGTTTGGGAGCCACGAGGTCAAGGTTTTAGTGTGACAGGTATCCTGTAACCAGAGCCAAGGGATCCGCTGGAGCCTCCGAGCTCTTTGGCTCCGAGCGCTCCAGCGGCATCCCAGACCCCCCTACAAACCCGCCGCGGATCCGCAGGGCTGGGAGCAGCCGGCGCCAGCCTGCCGGGACGCTCGGGCAGCTCCGGGGATGCGCCCGGAGCGGGGGAAGCGGCGGCCTCCCCCGCGCCGGCCTCCGCGGCCAGATGTGCCTCCTATTGAGGCGGTTCTGGGTGAGCGCCCCGGTGACACGGCCGGGCCCGCGGGGCATGTTTGAGTTTGGGCTCAGCCCCGCTCGCCCTCCCGGCAGCTGCAGGAAGAGGAAACTGGAAACTTGAACTTTGGYGACAACAATAAGGGCCCCGCCGGCCTCCATATGGTCCCGGTTGGGGGGCCCCGCCGGCTCCGGGATCCTTCCGGGACACCCACGGGCTGCTCCCGTCACCCTTGGGACTCAGCACCTGGAAGCCTCTGTGCTCCTCCAAAAGCAGAGGGGAGGTCGGGGTGCCCCCCTCCAGCTCTGGGCATTCCTAGGGAATAAGGGGTTTTGGCAGAGAGAGGGAATCGGAGCATTCCCGCTTCTCCCGTGCGGGAGCAGGACCATCAACGTGCCACCCTGGTTCCGGAGCCGCTGCGGAATGGGGATGGCTCCGGTGGGAATTGCAGGGTCCGAGTGCAGCGAGCGGCAGGGAAAAGCATTCCCAAGGGCACAAAGTCCAGCAGGATTCGGAGCAGCGGGATCCRGAGCCACCGGACCTGGAGCAACCACGGCACAAGCTCCCACCTGATCTCCTCCTTTCCCTGCCGGATCTGCGCCCTTCTTTGGGAAACCCGGATTCCCAGTGCCAAGGCCCAGTGCCCAGGCTGGGAAGAAGAGCGGGTGCCAAGTCATTATGTCCCTTAAGGGCAGTCACAGCTCCCGTGAGGAAAGCGCCAGCCCCGGATCGGATCGGGAACCCAAAGCAGCCAAAACTGACCCCAAAGCCGCGTGCGCCGTGTGCTCCACGTGCCAGGGAATTTGCAGGAAGGAAAACCCTATTTGTCCTAAAAAAGTGGGCTCTCTTAATGCAGATGCATTCAAACCAGTGCAGGCCCGGGGAGGATCCGCAGCAAAACACGACGCCCGCGGCAGCGCAAATAAGTGCAATTATAAATAATCTGCAATTAGTGTCTCTGCAGCGCTCCCTCATYGCCGCTGCTGCAACGTCGGAAAATTGGGAATATCTTGCTGCTGGTTAGGCCAGAAATGAGGCCCGTGTTTGGCTGGAACGGGCTCGTTCCAGGCGGATGCTCTGCTTGGGGCTTGGAGCAGGGGAGCTCCTGGTTTGGGAATGGGGAGGCAGGGAGCTGAGGCTGAGCTCTGGGAAGCTCCTGGGCATCCTGCTCCGGCAGCTTCCAACCATCCTGCTGTGGCTGCTCCYGGGAATGCGGCTCCGGCTGCTCATGCTCCGCTCAGACCAGGCTCTTGTCCAGGCAAGGGAATTCCAACAATATCCAGCCCTGGGTGCCATGCCCAGCTGGAAGCCAAAGCCAGAMCCTAGAAAAGTTCCCTTCCTTTCCAATCCTGGGATTTCACAGCAGTGTCTGATGCCCCTCGCTGCATCCCGACACAGAGCAGCTCCACACGGGAAGCTAGGAGGAACAGGCGAATTCCAATGCAAAAACCAGACCGGTTCCTCACAGGCAGCAGCTACAGCCGCAGGAACCTGACCGGGAGCGGAGCCAGACGGGAGCGAGACCCTCAGCAGCCGGGATTAGGGAAGGAAGCTCCGTCCCG